GGCAGGGCTGGGAGCGGTTGGACTGGATGAGCTTGAAGGTCTTTTCCAACCTCACTGATTCTGTGATTCACACACATGTCTCCAGGGCACCGCGGAGTTCGGGAATGGGACTAAACTTTCAAGAGTAGCCCCTGCTCTACTGGGAGAGGTCTGAGCAGAACGACATGGTGCCTGCAGCCCTGACAGTCCCCTGGAGCAACATCTGTATTGCCCCTAGTGCCACCACAATAACATACGGCAATGCTGGAACATGGTGGCACTAAGACTTTAAAAAGGCAAATGACTCTTCTAAGACCACTGAGATAGAACAGGCACTCCTGCCTTCTGCCTACACCCTCCCTCCTCTGTGAGCACAAGCAGTGTGTAAAGGCCACTTACACCCATGTATAGGGACCCTCTTCACTCTAGAGAGGGCTACCTGCCTGTCCAAGCCTGCCAGAAACAGGATTGCCAGGGAAAACTGCTCTGGGTAAGCATTACAAAGAATTACCAGCATAAGATGGGGGACAGAGACAGTATTGTGCACCACCACCAGCCCCATCTGCTTGCTGAGAACTTTGCTATAGTTTACAACTTCCCCAAAGGCCCCTGTTCCTGGGCCTGAGTAATTACGAGATGCTCAAATTTCATTTTAAATTAGTTCCAAACCCTCATAGCTGCAAAGGTAAGGTCAAAAATATGGTCAGAATAAAAGTTCAGTGCAAAACCAGAGCAGAAAACAGGCTTTCAACTCCATGGCTGTTTAGACAGCCTGGTGGTGAGCACCACACCTACTTTTGGAAGCTCACATCAGTAATACAACCTACACATGCAGAGATCCAAAGCACAGAACAACACTCCCAATAAACAGGATATGTAAAGAAACTTTAAAGCTATAGCTGTGCAAGTGCTACTTGACAGGTACAACTGTATCATTTGAGGTTCTCAGTTTTACCTCTACTGTGCTTTCCAGGCCTTCAGGAACAAAGAGGAACAAAGCAAGACTTACTGAATGCCAGCTCTGATCTGAATTAGTTGCTCTGTGGTAATGATGACTCAATGCATAGCAAGAAAATCCTAGATAGCAACCCAACATGCTGGGACCATCTGAGTTGTGGAGCTCTGGATGGGGAAAGAATCTGCCTGCTCACTATGGATGTCTACACATGGGATGGAAAAGGGGAATTGCAACACCTGAGAAAGACTCTCTTGTTGATAGTAAACCACAAGAACAGTAAAAAAAGTTACTTTTTAACCATCATTTGTCCATGGGGCACACCTACACATAGTTGAATTTTTGCCAATATTGACAGAAAACATTAAAAATGGGTACATTCCCCACCCTACTGTGTCCAAAGCAGGCAGGGACATGCTTACCAAGCCTCATCTCACCCTTTTCCTTTGACCTTAGTTTGACTTTAATACAAGTGACTAACAGAGCCTCCTGTGCCCCTGCTCACCATCACTGCCAGAATCATTCTTCACAGCCCAGCCCAGCACAAGTGTCACTGCTGCCCCTCTCCTGCCAAAGCTTGTGACTTGCTTTGGTATGTATGTGCTTGGGTGAACAGGCGCAGGGGGACATTCCTTCTCCTGTTCCCTCACCATGACCCTGCTTGCTTTGTTTAGCTGGGCAGCATAAAACAAAGATCAAGGCAATAAAGAACTTCTTCCTAATATCCAGCCTGAACTTCCCCTGTTTCAGCTTGAACCCATCACCCCTTGTCCTGTCACTACAGTCCCTGATGTCACTACAGTCCCTCCCCAGCATCCTTGTAGCCCCCTTCAAACACTGGAAATTGCTCTGAGGTCTCCACGCAACTTCTCTTCTCCAGGCTGAACAGCCCCAACATTCTCAGTCTGTCTCCATACAGGAGGTGCTCCAGCCCCTGATCATCCTCTGGACTTGCTCCAACAGCTCCATGCAGTGCTCCAAGTGGGGTCTCACAAGAGCAGAGGGGCAGGATCACCTCCCTTGCTGCTCATGCTCCTTTTGGTCTAGTGTGAGGTCTCCCTGTCCATGGCAGGGGCTTGGAACTGGATGATCTTAAAGCCCTTTCCAACCCAACCCATTCTATGGTTCTGTGAAATCTGAGGACTGTAAACCTGAGTCTTCAGAGGAATGCAGATGTTCAGTTTCCCAGTTAAGAAATGGGTCACCTCTATGAATACTGCCATTTAATGCCAGACACCTAATGCCTACCCATACGCATCACAAGACTGTGACACAACTCCTTAGGGCGCCACATCACAGGGAACATCTACGCTGCACTGTGTTCATAAGCCCCCTATGCCCCTATCAAGGCATCTAAGAGTGGGATCACCTTGTAGCACCTCGAGAAGGACAGATGCACTCGATCCTCTGATGCACCTGAGCTCCAAACAGGCCTGCTTGGGCTGACTTTCAAAGGAACCCATGGAAACATTGGGCAACTGCACTAAGTTCTCATACTACAGGATGGTGGAGGACTACCCAGGCTGAGTCATACATATAAAGTCTCCCCCTCTGGGTTCAAACAGCATCTACGTACCAGTGAGTTGACCTACCAGCTCAGAGATCATCCTCGACTGCAAAGGGCTCAGATGCCCAGGGGACAAGCAGAGCAGGTGGTCAACAGGGAGGCATCCTTCTTGGTGAACACACATGGCCATCACACTTACCGATGGTGGAGATGAGTTGTCCAGCAGGTACTGGTCCTCAAAATCCCACCGCGGTTCTGACTTGAAGTCAGCAGCCCTCAGTGGCTTCTTCTCTGTCACTGTAGCAGCCTGAGGAACAGGTCTTACAGTCTTCACTGATGCAGAAGGCTCTTTTGGCTTTGTTTGGTCATTGGACGTGTTGTTTTGCTGAGCTTCCTTCACGCCAGAGGATAGTTTCACTGTTGCCTTCTCCTTGGCTCCCTCCACGCTGGGAAGTGGCTTCACTGTCATCTTTTTCTTGGCTTCTTCCACCCCTGGGGCTGGTCTCACTATTCTTTTCTCATTGTTTTCCTGCATCATCAGGACTGTTTTCACTGTTGTCTTCTTGATTCCCTCCAACCCAGGGGCTGGTTTCACAGTCACATTCTCCTTGGCTTCTTCCATCCTGGCAACTGGTTCCATCATTTTCTTTTGCTCCTCCCTTCTTTCCCATCTTGGTGTCTTCTCTAGCATATCTTGTTTGAGCCTTGTGATGTCTCTCCCCAGAGACACCTTTGAAAAGTTCCTGGAATTCCCATTATCAGGATAGTTTAAACCCTGTTGCTTTTGGGTGTCCACTTGCAGCATAACTGAGGCACGTTGGAAAATACTCAACTGCCTGAATGCAATCAAAGGAAAAGCAGACACATCACACACACCTTCCACTTACCATCAAACACCTTCCAGCCATTTTTTGGCTCTTCGCTCTTCGCCCCTCTCTGTATAATCACTGCGTATGACCACCACATTGGAGGACCTGCCCTGGCAGCTGCCATTTCTGCAGGATCCTGTATGAATTCAGTTTTATTTCCAACTTTGCCACTAAAATGTTCTTCAACTTCCCACACCATTCTTCTATGCTTCTGGCCTGAATACCACCTATCTCCCCACTAAGCAAGTCATAGAGGCTACACACTCCTCTTCAGCACTTGGCTCATGAAGCATCCACACTGGCAGGAGCTACAAAGCAGCACGGAAGAGCTTTGCCCTGCACTGGGCAATGTCCCCAGAGCACTGCAGGACTGTTTTGGAGCTCCTGAGTTCAGGACATGGCACACACACCATGAAGGCAGCCATCTGGCTCTCTTCTTTGCCAGCAGAGCCAAGTGCTTCAGTGATAGAGCATGAAGATCTTCCAGAATTCAGTAAAGGAAGTCTAATGAGAAGTGTTAAACTTGTTCCTTTATGACAAATCACTTCTTGAGCATTTGGGGTTCCAAGGCACCTTTCACTCTCCTCCTCCCCCTCAGCCAGCTAAGGCAATGGTATCACACAGCCCTTGCCAGGTACAAGTCTTAAGACAGGCACTTTGAAGCTACTAAAATACACTCTGAAGCTTAAAACTGTAAAATATCTGCATTTTCAGTGATTTCCTCTAATACTGCAGCTGCCCTGCTGCCTGGTTCAGAGGCACAGGCAGGTACAAGGATGCCACAGGAGGATACAGCTGCCAATAGCAGAAGAGCCACCTGCAACAAGCCTAGGCTGAAACCCAGGATAAAATATCAAGGCAAAAGTGATGGGGGTTTGTCCCAAACACTCATCTTTATCTGCACATGGCTGGAGGCTGGAACAGGAAAAAGGAAGGTGAACAATTGCTGCAGCTGAGCTTTTATGTACAGCAAAGCTTTTCAGGATAAACTAGCAGAGCTGTGGCAGGCTGATTTCACCCTCTGCATGATGCATTTGCTTCAGAGAGCTGTGGATTGCTTCCGAGGTGATAAATGGGTGAGGGGGAAAGGCACCTCTGCAGACAGCAGCCTGCAGATAAGAGTTCACAGTGGTACAGCATTCACTGAAGTCATTAGGAAATGATCAACTAAGAGGCTTTTAAAATTCATCTTGTAGGAGACAAATACTTGAACCATACTTTCCAATGGTATTTCTGGAAAAAAGATGTTGTGTCAATGGCCTATCAGCTCTTCCTCCATCTCTCCTATAATCATTAGCCACTTTCAAGCAAGCCTGCAGCAGTTGCTTTCTATCACAGTGCTTCATGTATAAACTTGTGTTGCTTTTTATAGTCTAAGAAGAGGAAAGATTTTATATACACAGTCTAAGGAAAAGAGACATTTGGGAAGGTAGCACAGGCAGAACTTAAATCCCTGGATGATTTGCTGTTGTAGTTTTTAGATGATGTTTAAAATGATGTTGAAATGAAAGGGCAGAGAACCAATGAAACAGGACAGTATGAGAAGCCACCCTCAGTCCAGACTTTGTGCTGTCTCACAGGGCATAGGTTTCATCCCAGCTTTATTACACTTAAATTACAAACACTGTGCCAAACATAGAGAGACCAAAGTGTAAAACCAAGGGCCCATCACGTCCTGCAGGCAGACCCACATGGCTACACAGGACCCTGCTCTCCTGACCAGCATTTTCCATCCACCTGGTCAAAGCAGCTCATCAAATTCCAGAGTCCAGCTGGCAAACAACTGCAGCAGCTCAATGACATTTACTGTCATTTTCCTCTCCATTTACAAAGCCTGAGGACAAATAGAGGATAAAGCCATAAAAATGTTGCTTTGTGTTTTCTACCTTACATATAAAGGCATGGAAACAGAACTGACCCACAGGTAACCACATACAGCTCAATGCGTAGTTGTGTTTTATTTAACTTGCAAAAATAGGGACATTTCCACTCTCTGAAACTATGGGAAAATGAAATGGCTTCATGAATGGTCACAGAGTGCCAGCTCTTGTCCCAGCTCTGCCACTGATGGACTCTGTAACAACTCACTTCACTTCTCTACATCTCCTCCTTCTCTCCTTCCCCCTCGCCCCCACCGTGCAGATTCTGGTCTCTCCAAATCACAGAATCATAAAATGGTTAGGGTTAGAAAGGACCTTAAAATTATCTAGATGTCCTCAAGGTGTGGTCTCAAGTTGCTGGTCTAAACTCATACCACCTCCAGAAGAGATGTAGGTGTTCCCAGCCTCCCCCCTCAGCACCAGCCCTGAGCTCTGCCTGAAAACTAACCCCACTAATACGAGCCAGAGGAGCTCACTGGGAGAGCTGGGACCACATGAATGCTGGTGGGGAGGCTGCGGCTTCCAATACACAGTTCAGGGCACCAACATGAGCCATGCCTGTGTAGGAAAGGCTCACATATCTGCTGTGCTCACGCAAGGAACATTGCTCCCTGCCAATGATGCTGGAGATGTTCTACTGCAGTCTTCACTGCAACTCCCTCCACACCCAGTCTTGTAGGATTTACTTGACCACTTATATAAAAAATACTATAGATACTGCTCATATCTGCATGACATTAGTCTCCCAGCATGTCTGTATTATGGATCAGATGCTAAACTTGGTATAAACCAAGGTATCCCACCAAATTCAACGTCCAGCAATGCAATCTGGACTAGGGCTGGATGAGGTACTCTAGGAGCCACCAGGAAAAGCAAACACTGTGTAATGCCACAGTATGGAACCAAATAGCATTAGTAAAGCAAAAGCTGCTTTCTTCAACAGCTACAGCAAGGAAACACTGGAACTAGCAATCCAGCAGAAGCAAGGTTCTGACTCTGGATCTTCCAACACTGTGCTCTGATTGCACACAACGTAGTCTGCTAAAGCAAAGTGGTCATCTAATTCTGATCAATAGTTCAAGTTTCAGGGTAAGAAGACAGAGAGACAAAGCAAGAGAGCACAGTGCTCTGTCCAGATAGCACATAATCACAAGGAAGCTGGTCTCTTACCTGAAAATCCTTGTCTTTGACAAGCCAAACAAGGAACTTAAATTAGGAATGAAGATGCAAAGATGTATTAGAACAATGAGCCAAAAGAGGGCTCTGGGAATTCTAGGAAGCCTTCTCCTGAAAAACGCCATGCTGAGATGCCTGAGAGCACCAGAGGCTCTGCTGCTGGCCAGAGGTGCTGACTGGCCAGTGCTTTTCAAAGGTGTGCTGAATGATGGGGCTGGTCTTCTCCCTGGATTTCCATACAACAACATGCACACCCTCTCTCTCAACATTCCCAAACACTCTGCACACAGAAACAACTCCTCAGACAAGATAGCAGCTTTGCACTGTTCCTGTCTATCACCCCAAGCTTATTGCAACACAGAATGGGGAAAGAAACACTTGTCACTGCAAACAGTGGAATTCCTTACATTTTCCTTAGTGAGGTTAGTCCAGTGTAAGAAGGAAAATCTTTACCTTAAATCTGGTGGAAGCATCACTGGGAACATTTGTATGAATTATGGAACTAACCATAGTTACAGTCCAAGAAACCAGCTTTCCTACCAGGAAAGCCCAAGGGCTCAGGAAAGACTCTAGGTACAACCACAAAGAGATGGTCATTTTCTTCTTATGCAGTAGCTGCTTGTTGCTTCAATCCAGAAGCAATCCCTGCCCCAAAAAACTGGTAGCTAGATGCACATCCATTTTAGCTTGTGAGTGCTTTGAAATAAGTTGAAATCCTTGAAAAGCCACCATAGAACAGAGAAGGTAGTGTTTAAAGGCAGAGCAGTGCATGGGTAAAGCATTAGAGGACAGAGCTTAGAGTGAGGCAGTCCCCCCTCTCTCTAATAAAGCTGACCTGCCTTTGGGGCAACTGGAAAAGCTCCAATCCAGCATTTCACTTGTCTGAAAGGTGCCAACTCCATCACAATCCAAGTGTGCTATTGCTGACAAACTTGTTACACGGGCCTGCCTGCAGCTCAGGTTCCCAAGCTGAACCTCGTCTCTGAGCTGTGTGTACCCACAGCAGCAACACATGCTCTTCAGCAGCTCTTCTGTTTGAGCTCCCAGTCAAGCAGCCTCTAATACCAACACTAGGACTGATCATCTACTTTTGGCTTTGAACCATCCCATCATTTCACAGGCACCACTGAGTGGCCAGGAAATGACAGTTATTTCAGTTCACTGCTCAAATAGGACCTCAATGGATTTGAATCTGACTAAGAACTAGATCATGCTGGAGGGTCCCACAGTACAGCCCCTTGGACTCCAACTGGTTTCAAAGGAGCATGCAACAGACCTGAATTCTTATTGCACATAACATCAAGATACAGTTTAAGTGTCTTGTATCTGTGACTCATGCCCTCATGGACAGACAGACAGACATCTGCCTTCTACACTGCTGCCTTAGTGGGACTTTCATTTGGATTTTGTATGGTACAACCAGGTTTTGCCCATAAATTGTGTCAGTTAAAACAAAGCTTCACTAATGCCACGTGCACATGAAATGCTCCAAGGGCTTTGCACTACACTTCATTTGAGCCGTGAGCATATTCTAGCTTGGGATATACTGCTTCTCATTGACATACCCCTGACAATCTCTCTCCCCATCCCAAGTTCTACAATACGTATCTCATCCTCTCCTCTCCATGAAAATCAGTGATCTGCCTAGAGATGGATCTTCCGCGGTGCAGAATACATCTCCCCAGCAGCAGGGGGAAAGATGAGCAGAAATAAACATCACAGCCAGAGAAACACTTAGCTGTACCAGAGATGTAGTCTCACACGCTATAGCAAAGTGCCATTTTAAGTCATGTGGAGCTGTGACATATTAACCCTGACAGTTCAAGGGGAGATGCCCGTATTGCTTCTTATATTTTAGGCTGCTTTTGCACAGGTCTCATAAAAAATTAAACCCAGATGTTTTAGTGGGTTTAATGTTTTTAACTGTTACTGAATACATAGAGAACTGAATGGAAGATGTTTGCTTTAAGCCACGGGCAAACCAGTAAACAGGTTTCACACCTACCTTTTACCCTTCCATACATTACAGCAAGAGCTGCAAGGACTTCCTGTGCAAGGCTCAGCAGTAGCTGCGTTTCTTTACCATCCAAATTTCCTGACAAGTTACTCTCTCTGGATTTAAGTGCAAGACACTGGTTATCAGAGGACCTTGGAGAGAAAAATGAAACAATAAGACAGATTTGAATAGTCCTTGAAGAAACACGAGAGGTTGTTACTCCACGGTACAACCCTGCCTCCATCTACAGCAAAACCTTTCACTAGTGCTCAAACTGAGCCCAGCATCAAAGGAGATCTGGTGAACAACCACAGGCACTGAGAAAGGGATGAGTCAAGGGATTGCCATATTCCTGGGCAGCCCCTGCTAGCTCCATGCAGCTCTAGAGAGGTGGAATGTCGGTCTGGGTGTGCAGCATGCAAGTAGCAACTCTGTGGCCACAAGAGGCAATGGGACAATCCTACAGGAACAAGTATCAGTCTGAAGCACTGATACACTAGCGTACACAGCAACAGCTCCATTTTAGCCTTCCTGTTTCCAGCCCTATGCACCTTCAGGCACTCTGCTTGGAAGAAGCTGTTTGTATGCAACTACAAGGTTTATTTTGTTAATAGGATCCCAAAGGGGAGTTCTGGAGGCAGCAAACATTTTCCTTCAACCTCCTCCATATAACATTACTGTGAAAGCAAGAGCCACAAGGGATAGCAAGATTCCTACAACCAGGAAAAACAGTTTGCTTTGTTTTTAAGGAACTGGGCTGGCAACTGGGGAGAACATGTCTGTAGTACTCTGTGTTCAGGAAAGCAGGAATATCCAAATCCCTGGCAAGAACAGTAGCCAGAAGCAGGCTTGCTATGTAGAACACACAGCTTTGCATCTTGGTGTAAGAAAAGGAAACCTAAAATAACTCCCAAAACCAAAGCAATCAGGGTGCTGGCTTTCAGCTCCTTGGAGTATCATTTCACCATCCTCCTTCCCCACTGCTGAAATCAGTCTGTTGGAGCTGAGGCAGCCAGGCCTGAGGTCAGACTGGGGAATGGGGATGCACTGTAACTCCTCAGAGATGGCCTGGTGAAAACTGAGGTCAAGAGCAGATCTCCTCCCTTATAAAGCTCTCTACAAAGTATGATTCCTGGGACACGCAAGGCTCTGAGGCCACAGACAGGAAGATAAGCCAAGACTGCACCTCACACAGGAGCTGGCAGCCTCTCAGGGCCACAGGCCAGATGCCAACCTCTTTTCAAAGACAGGTTTTGCATGTTTCATTGGCAATCCTACCAGAAATCCCAGGAAATGCTGCTTCTCTCAGGGTGGGGAGACTCCATGTTCACTGTGTCCATCACCAGTGTCCATACCAGAAGCACTTCTATTTGTCAGTGCTGCCAAAGCCAGACCTCTGGGTGTTTTTCTTTATGCAAACTGCACCAGGGACCATCAAGTCATCTGTTAGTTCTTTTCCATCTCCAACAATCCATTTACTTCCACATTCACTTCATTACATCCTGGAAAGATAAAAGGCAGATTTGCTTTTCTGTTCATTTTGGGGGTTTTATTGATAAACTTCACCTCCATGAGGTCTCACGTTGTGTGTGCTGTGGGTGTTGTCTGGAGCCTGGACTACGCCAACAATTTATCTGTGTGCAGGTTTTCCAGAGGGCTGTGGATCCAATCTTGTTTAACTGCCTGTTCCCTGTGTGCTTTCCACTTTCCCATGGCTCTGGGCTCTGGAATGGGACATCACAAGATGTAGAACAGCTCTGTTCTTAAAGTACAAATCAATCAAGCTTCACTGTAGGACAAACTTGTCTTTCAGTGATATCCACAACCAGTACTTAACTGTGGAATAAAGACCTGCTAAAGAAGCTGAAGGTGTTTGGACCTGCTCATGGTATTTACTTGATAATATAAGAACCGAGTTAGTTGTAACTGGGAGGAAAAAAATGAATGACATGGCCTGCAGCATGCAACTGCTCGCTGGTCACACCTGTGGCTTAGCAAAGGCTTGGAAACATCAGGTTCTTGTTTTCCCTTCCCAGTTTTCAGTAGTCAGCTTCAGAAGCACATGATTTCAGTCTGGGAATCCAGGGGGAAGGAAATGACAAGAGCAAACTCAGCAACTTGTCTTGCTTTCACAAAACCTGATAGCCCAAAACCTCCTAAGCTTGCCTTAATTCCACATTCACTTGCCATTGTGCAGCAAGTTCCTTCCCTTCTGCACCAAACCTTCTTTCAAAACCACTGAACACAGTGACAAAGACAACAACATTGATCAAGTCAAAGCCCACACCTCTTCTGCTGTGCTTGTAAGAGTACCCAGATTTTTGTTACACAGAACTTTGCCAGGGCTGGGGAACAGCTTATTGAGCCAACTAGTCTGTGTTCTGACATGTCCCAGGAGAGAAGAAGACAGGGACTTTCATGGTGGAACAGTAACAAGCCCCTCATGTGTCCACGCAGCAGAGATGAAGAGAATGCAGAATTTAGGGGTTTTATTAGTGCTGGTTTGTCTGCTTGGTCTCCAACCCCACCCAGCTATTGCCTCACTAAAGAACTGCCTTGAATTTATGTTGTGACAGCAGATGGCATGTGCCCAACCTAGAGTATTTCCCCCTGTTCCACATGGCAACGGGACCATAGGCAGGTCCTCCAGCCAGCTCCCAGGCACCAGGGAAAGCCCTTGCATGGAGCAATTTCTGGAGGATGGGGTGGAAGTGCTCTGAATTTATCCACAACATCTCTGGTGACTCAAACTTGCTTTAGTCTGTTAGGCAGCAGTACGTTCCCTACAGCTACAGGTGTTAACTCTGTGTATAGAGTGAAGCAGAGCAAGTCTTCCATCACACTGCTTTTCTGCTTCTTGAGCTCTTCACCATTCACCCCATGCCAGTTAAGCTGCAACAATTAAGTGGCTCTGGTCCCAGCACTCCTTTCTCAGATACACAAAACTCACAAGACTGATGAGCCACTTCATGTAAGAGGAATTAACAAAAACCCACAAAAATACACCCCCAGCAACAATGGCTGGAAACTCAGC